TCATTGGTGACCTGTATCCAGCTGCCATGGGAGAGACACCCTCCCCATAAGCCTGTATGGGTGATTTGCCACCCCCCAGTGTTTCCCCCAGGAGCTGCAGGGCACACAACCTGAGCAGAACAGGGGAGAGGGTTAATCCTCCTGCCTCTTCTAGAGCTTAATTGGAAGGGAAATTGTCTTTGACTTAATTTCCTCTCTTGTCGCAGCTCAAGTCTAGCGGATCAAAAGAAATGCAAATTGAAAGATAATATTTTGGATGTGCCTGATTTTAAAGTTGAACATGAATAATCTTTCATGCCTCTGACTTAATGTCTGTACCATTTTTGTTACAAAAATCTTGAAACAATGTGTATTTCCTTATGTGACAAAAAGAATTTACTTTTCATCAAGAATGGAAACCTGAATGATACTGTCACAGTATTAAAACACAACTACTAATTACCTCAAGTTATCAAACCTGACATTATCCTTTACATTAAAATACTCTATGTTTTATTTTATAATGAGAGGGCAAAGACCCAGTTACTACAAAGTATCAGGCTTCTGCATGTGGGCTACCATTATATAGCAGGGTTTTTTCACAAAGAATGCAGTTGGCTGATTATTAGATTATTGGTTAATGCAATTTAATGTAAAACCTTCTTTTTCTTTCCTTGTTATTTTGAATTATAGTACTAGGAAAGTATTTTTCAAGTGGTTAACTTGAGTTTTCTTTCCAACATCTCTTTATTTGTGAAGAAATGAATTCAAAGGTTCTGTTTCCTTTTTAGTGCTTTTGAAAATGAAGGATAGTTGTGCCTGCACTACAAGAAGGGTGATTTAGGTAAACGTCTCTGAGGCAGCTTGAGTCAATTTAGCTTAGACTTGCCCTGAAATTCTCTATTGCTTTGCTGCAAACCTTCCCAAGAGAAAAGATTTACTCTTGCTGAGCTGTATTGGAGTACAATGTGGTTTTGTTGGTGTCTTACATTATGGCTGACAAAAAGGGTAGAGAAAAATGCTACATTGAACCACCTCAATGGGGAGGAGAAAAGATTTACTTACTTTTTCTCCACATATTCAGTCTGGGGGTGATGGATGTCAGTTGTGTCATCTCTAAAATTCACATCACACTCACCCAAGAAATCTATAAGGACTTTTTATTGATGGTTTTCCAAGAATTCCTCATTTTTGAAGTGCGCACAAGAGATTTTTCAGTGACTAGTTGACTGCAGATAGTAGAACCCTACATGTTGGCTGACACATTGGTAGAATAAATGTCCAGCCCTATGTTCAGCCCCATTTTGGGAAGGCCCAAATATATAGATGGAAAAAAAGAACCCTGCCTCACTTTTCTGCCGTTGAGTCCACACTGTCCTGAGAATGTGCCCCAGGTCTGCACCATGAAACATACAGGAAGACAAAGTCCTGAGACAAAACAAAGGGAGAAGGTGCAAGGGTAAATGCTATTTTTTCATTACCCTGGCACTTATTTATAGATTGGGAGAAATAACTCGTGCCTGCTCTTTGAACAGAGCCATTCCTTCGCTCATGCAGAGACATCTTGCAGGCCAGCTGTGCTGCCTCGGAGTTGCTTGTTATCAACTCTTACAAGTGTGTGGGAAAGCAACAAAATCATGACAATGATAAATATTGCTTCTTTACACGCTTACACAATGCCAGCCCAGTCTGTGGTCCAAAAGCCCCACTGTGGTCTGGCTCCGAGTAAACAGAGTTATTAGCAAACACGGGAGGCTGAGAGGTTGGAGATTTGAGCTGACCAGTTGTTAGAGAAAAACAACAGATTCCTCCTCTTTTTTTTTTTTTTTTCTGGACTCCTTTTATTGCTGAATCTTTCACACTCTGGAGAAGAGTACTGCTGTTGTCTGGTGGCTAAAAGCAAAATCACATAAAGAGGGAAGAGAAAGGAGAGTAAAACAAAGCTGTCTCTCACTCCCAGCTCGATAACAAATGCAGCAAGTGATCTCGTAAGCACACCAGGTAGTGCCTCTGGGCTGGCATGGTGCCCATCTGTGCCATCTGCTGAGTATCAAACCTTCCTCTGCTTCCCATCCTGCAGAACCTGCTGCAGCCAGGCTCTGCCTTTCTGCTGAAATCACTGCAGCACACAGCCAGCCCAGGTTAGCAGTTTGATAGCTTTTACTACAAAAAGGGGGAAAGGGGGGTGCACTACATCTTTGTATTTTTGCAGTTCTAATCCCTGTTATGGTATTTGTGAGTGTCATAGGACATTTCTCTAGCTATTTACAACAGGTCAGGGCAAAAACCCTGCTTCCCATATACCCTCTCACTGAAATGGCTACTTTTGTTTGCTGAGTACCACTTTAGATGGAGACTAGTGAAACAGCCACATTGGAATTGCTCATGTGATTATCGCGTTGAAGGAGAACAATAAATAAAAATATGTTGCATATATTATGAGATGCTGGACTAAAAATGATGGGCTGTCATATAAAATTAGGAACGAAATAGGAAATTGAGACCCCAAAAAAGGCAGTAATAAAAAGCTCCGTATTTTATTCCATGTCAGATGGTTTCTCTTCTGTCTGAACTGGAATGTTTCCTAAAACAATATTGTTTAAGGAAACAGCTGGTCCATCAGAATGTTTTCCCTCTGCTGTGTATCATCTGCCCAGCGTTTTGCTCTGATCAGAAAGGTAAAGAGTATGAACACAGAATGAGAGCTGAAGGAAAAAAAATTCCATTCCCCTAAATAACAATGCAGCAACTCCAAGAAAAGCCATAGAAGTATAAGAGAAATTCACTGATAAATCAAGCATTAACATTTGCAGCAGGAGAAAATACGTCCCCACCGTCATTATTTCTTTCAGGTTTTACAAGACCTGTTCTTCAGTACTTCAAATGAATAAGAATGTTAAGACTAGTGTCTGAGATTACAGGAAAATTGATTTTTTTTTTTTTTTTTTTTTGGTGCTGATTTTTACAGCACAAGGAATTTCCAAGAAATTGTGTAAAATTCATAAAAGGCAAATCTAGAAGTCTTCCATGTGAAAAGAATCATGTTGCTTTAGTCTTAAAAATTGCAAATATAACATCTGGTACAAAATGTTTTGAAGTGTCATGTGACTGTGCCCTTGGATCAGATGCTGTTAGAAAAGCCTGTTAGGGTTGGAGAATTAGGCTTTAATTCAGCTTCTGGTGGTCTGTGTTAAAGAAGATTTTGATTTAGGAGCCCTTCTGTCTAAAAAAAACCCTACAAAATAATTTGGGGCAGTACCCTATTTCTCCACAGAAGAGTTTAATTTCCAGTCTCATAAGCCTGGGAACTCTCACCTGGGAACTCTCACCTGGGAACTCTCACCTTTTGAGGTTCTTTTTCCTCCTTGCAAAGTTTTGAATCTTGGAAATTTATCAAAATTAAAAAGCAGGGTGAACCAAAGAGGTGTTTTGCCAAGAATTGTGCAAGTTTTACATGATGGTACATTTAGATTGCTTTTATTTCAACCTGCATGGACTGACTATACTTTAGAGCATTTGCAAGAATAGCACATACATGGATATGTGATGTTGACTTTGAAGGATTAGGCAGACACCCTAATAAATAGTGTGATATTTAGAGAGGATGAGTACTGAGTGACACCTAGTGAGTTATTAACCTTTACTTTGTTCATTTTATTATCTGTCCTTTTTGCTAAATTTCCCATGTTCTCAAATGCAGATCCTCTAGTTTAACTTATTTTGTTCTGCAGCAGCTCTGCTTGACCAAAACCCAAGTTTTCAAGGCAGATTTGCCAAATTCACCAGTGCTGATCTGGAATTCAAATACTCAGGTGTTTTGAAGAGTGAAAATGCTGGAAACTGAGTATCTCACTGATAGTTTTTAGTTCTTTTCAAAACGTGGTATCCATATTACCACATCTCCTCAAAAGCCCTGAGATCTTTTGAAGAATAAAGTTCTAAATGCGTATGTTGAGCATTTAAAAATTAGGCTTTGGGTTCTTTTTGGAACATAAGTCTAAAACTCATTTGAATAGAGTTAAGGTAAGCACTGCATCTCCTAAACATAACTGCCTTAGTGCAGATAGATGGGAAAAAATGTCAGGGGAAGCTTGAATTGAGACACTTAAATGCATTTGACTAAAGCACACATTTGCTCAAACCATGTTGTCCAAAAACCATGCAGATATAATCTTAAAAATGTTGAATTGAATTGGTTTGAGCTTTTTGGTTTTTTTCGCTAATATACAAGTCAACGTTTTTACATTTAAAAACCATCATTTCAGTTTCAAGAGATTTGTTTGAGGCTGTAACCAAAAACACAGAACAGCTGTACCACACAGGCACAGGAAAGAAACTCCTGTCTTTCCCCCTAAAATACATGGGAAAACCATACTCTCTGGTCTTGCTACAGTTGATTTACTACAGATTTAACTTGCCAATGTAAAGTCGTAAGTCAGAGATCTACATTGGTTTAGGTTTATCAAAACTCTTTCCCTCATGTAACTTGTTATCAGCTAAAGTTGGGTTCACTATTTTTTCCAAAGCAGGACGACAGGGTGAGGAGCCCCCTGGGCTCTGCTGGCTCTGCTGTGGCAGCCACTGCTTGGGCTGTATGCCTGGCTAAGGCAGCAGCCCTGGGAAAGGGTGCCTCCTGCAGCTGAAGATAAGCACCTACACAAGCCCCAGGACTTGCCTGGGAGTCACCAAGCTTCTTTTGGAGGAGCTTTTTAAGGGGCTGTGGGGCTTCAAACTCAAAGGATTATACCATGGTGAAATTGGGTATTGCAGTGACCATGGAGTGGCACAGCATTTGGTCTGGGCTAGCTAGAAATAGTTCATTTTTTCTTTTCCAAGGAAAATTTCATTTCAGCTGTACTTAAGGTATTCTGTTCAATGATCACCAAGTGTTTTGGGTTGTTCATTTGGAGACTGATACTTTAGGTTGTACCCGTTTTGAGTGCCACCTCCAGACACTTCTTTTTGAACCCATTGACATGCAGTGCTCCAGAGTGTTTGATTTTTACCTGTCTCTTTTCTAGGTAAAACTGCTCATCGGACAATCAGAATTTGCAGTTCCCATCTGCTACAAGCTGGGCCTTGGGCTGGAGAAGTAGCTGCAGGCTGCTGCTCTCCAAAGGAGCTCAGAAATTAGGGTCTGTCTGCATCACAGTACCAGGAGTTCATTTATCTCTTTTTGGTAAGTAGATGCAATGTGGACACACCTGTAGCTTTTATGCAGCCCTCCTTTAGGTGAGCATCTAAGATTCTTCTCCAGACACTCCCTTGAGACTCTGTGTTGGATGAGAACAAACATCCTGTAACAGTCCTAGTCTGCACTGGAAGTATTCAGATAGTAAAATCTACTCAGGGCTTCTAGTAGTTGTGCTGGACCAGGTAGATGGTAGATGGTGATGTGGAGAGCATGCAGCCTGAGCAAGGTTGCATGGAGGCACTTGGGCTGACCTGTTCTAACTCCAGAGCTATGCAAGGAATTAAATGCAGTAGAGAGAACTGCAGGGCTCCTTTTCCTCAATGTTAGAAGTCCCTCTTTAGAGACAGGGAAGCTGGAATTGCTGTCTGGCCCCCTGTGCTGACACGACAGCATTTCTAACATTGAAACAACAGTTTAATTTTTCTGGGGAGGAAATGTCTCTAAAATTTCTTGGGAGAAAGCAAAGCAAACCTTCAGAAAACTGCAGATGGAAAGCTTGCATTTATGTAAAATGGAAACATGCTGCGAATCATTGGAGAAAACCTATATTTTCTTGCCAATTATAACAATATTAGGTAGCAGTGAATGTTTCCAAGGCAACCTGGCCACGAGTGCATTCATGTGGAGTGTGTGTGACTACCTGCTTTGTCAAGCCAATGGATGGATGTCAGAAGGTGGTGTGGTGGGGGAGTACAGATCATTTCATCAATCTACACTAGGAACACTATTTAAAAGCAGAGGATTTTTTTTTTCAATGTATGTCTGATTGTGCCGAGTATTTCACTGCCTTTGTTTCTAGAATAGGCAACTGTGTGGGAGTCAGGCTGAAGACACCTGGCTGGTGAAGTGTCCACAGTTATAGGAGACCTTCTGGGCAAGACCATCTTGTCTTTGCCTGTCCCTCATTCCCCTCCACTGTGTCTGTTTGGTGTATTGAAGCTTTCTGGGTATCTCCAGCTGTCCTGCAAAACACAGAAAGTGCAGCATACAGTGTGGTCTCCCATATGTTTTCTTCAGGCCATCACTCTTGTTTCCTCTGAGGAGTCATTGCAGTTAGATGTTGTGTGAGGACCCCACTGTCAGTCTCCAGGGAATTCACTGCCTTGTCTTTGACCTTTTAAAAACCTCCAAGAATCACAGATAAGATTTGTTTGGGAAAAAAATCATCAGGGCTGCAAAATACCTGAAACAGGTGTCAGAAAAAAAAAGCAACACCCCCCTAGGCACCCAAGGGAATTGAGAAAGGAATGTGGGTCATGTTCACCAGTCCTGACTACTTTCCACATTATCAGATTGCTGTGACACAGCTATGATGTACAGCAGTCTGTCCCTCACCTTAGCAGGTTGGCTAAGCTGAGTTTGCAGGTCTGTACTGACATCGGAGTGGAACAGATCACTGAGGGATGCACTCTGAGATTTGGCTGAGCGTTTCCACTGTTCTTCAATAGTAGCCCCCTTTCAAAATTTTTTGCTTCAGAAAAAGGCAGAAGATTCTCAATTATCTTTCTCTAAAGCAAAACTGTTGCAGTACTGAGTTCACCGTAACTTTGCAGCTTCCCCTGGGAATTAAACAGTCACAGGAGGAGTTCAATGCGCAGTTATTCAGGTATTGAAAAATGCCTGTGTGATCCCTTTTGGCTCTGGCGTGAGGGCTCCAACCACATTGAAACTCTGGTAATGTGCACACGTTCCTTACTCAGTGCTGCTTTCAGAGTAGCCACAGTGGCTGCTGTGTGCAATGAATGACAATCACACCCTAAGTACCCAGAAGTAAGCTTGAGTGAAAAATTAAGATGCTGGGAATTTGTGCTTAAATTATTTTACCTAACTGTTGCTTTTTACTGTGGATTACAAAATGTCCTCTGTGCACGCAGATGTGCTCACATCTAGCTCATGTTCAAACAGCTCTCACTTTTGTGCTTTCAGCTGTGGCTCAGATGTGCATCATGCCGTGTCCCTATCCCTGCGCCAATGTGTACACTGCCATCCAGAGGTGCAACAGCTGCATGTGCAGGTACACCCAAACTAGCGGTCAGCTCACTGTCACCATGCAAACAGGAACAAAACCACACTCGCCAAAAGGCTTGGCAGCTGGAATTCTGGGACTCCAAGCACACACATGCCTGATGGCCATGGTCCTCTTGCACCCGAAGTGGCAGAGCTGTGACTGGTGCTGTTAAGTGTGTGCACAGCACCCCAGTCAGATTGTGAACATCAGGGAGAAGGCAAATGTGTTCCTCATCTCAAAGCACTTGTTCAAGCACTTTTCCAATGCTAAACTTCCAAAGAGGGAGGAAATAAAGAGAGGAGGATGCAGACCAGGAACCTACTTAGCTAACCAAGCCAGGAGAAGGTACTCGTCTAATTTTACAGAGATTTTCCACTGTAATGGCTGTCCTGAAATTTTGGGCATAAGCCCATTTTTTCCTTGCTTGTGGGCAAGGAAAGAAGAGACTTGGAAAGAGACAGCTGAGATTATATCCTTTCAGCGTCTAAAAGGGGCCTGCAAGAAAGCTGGAGAGGGATTTTCTACAAGGGCCTGTAGCGATAAGACCAGGTAAAATGGCTTTAAACTGACAGAGTATAGGATTAGATCGGATATTAGGAAGAAATTAGTTACTGTGAGGGTCGTGAGGCACTGGAGCTGGTGTCTCAGAGAAGCAGTGGATGCCCTATCCCTGGACATTGATGGAAGGCATCTAAATGTGGTAGTAGCTCTTAAGCATTGAATATGTTATTGAATAGTTGGGCCCAATTGATTCAGACACTCCTGACACTTAAGTCTTGTGTTTAAGGCTCTGAGCCACCTTAGAACTCTGTGTTATTTGGCATTTTGGGTTCCAAACAAAGGGTGAATCAAGATCCTGTCTCTGGAGACAAAATCAAACACAGGATTGAATTGCCTTTCCTTTTTACAATATGGGACACTTGACAGAGCTATAGAAATCCCATTTGAAAAATGATAGCTGTTGATTTTCTGCTTGCTGAGAATTATTAGTATTTTTCTATCCTGCAAAACCAGCCATTAAATCAGCAAAATGCTTTGGCATTAGAGCCATTTGGAATGTAAAAAATACTGCTTCTGTAATGTTCAGCTGCAAAGTTAAGAGAACATCTAAAAGGACGAATAATGATCTTAATTTGCAAGACATTTTACAAGTAAACATGTTACAGTTGTAGCTACAAAACAGATAATTGCTGAACATTTTAAAACCCAGGTGTATAAAATTAAAAACAAGAAAATCAAATTTAAGTGAAAACAAATAACAGGGGAATTCTAAGTAGAAGGTTCAGATTCTTTTTTTTTTTTTTATGAACCATTTCTTTATCTCTACAACCTCAAATATTACATAGTGGTCTCTAATCATCTACTTTATAATATTTAAATGAGCATGTACTTTAACATAAAGTGGTTTACAGTCAGTTTTTCTATTTTTGTATAAGAAATGTATGAACGAATCATGAAAAGGTCAACCACTTCAATGAAACAACTTTTAAAAATAATGCAGTTTTACAGCCATACATAAAGATATGTATTTTATTATGTCAAGAATATGAAATAATATAGCTCAGCGTTAAGCCCCAAGTCTTTCATGGAGAATACATTAGCTTTAAACTGGGATATATGATCATTGAAATACATTATTTCTGCTTTTTTGAAGTGAAAGGTTTTTCTTCTCCCTACTTCCCATCTTTGGCTAATCTTTTTTCCCTCTCATAATAGTTTATCTGTCAAAGTACTAATATGTCTTGTCACCATGTATTTTAGTAATGTCTAATTGGGAACTGAGGGCTGTGCTGGCCCCTTGTGTGCTGTCCAACGCTGTGGCCCAACTCTGCCATGCCAGGACAGCCCATCTGTTCTGACCCATGCTCCTGGAGGGTGCTGGCAGCTAGCTCAGGGAGCAAACCTGAAGTGCAGCCAATGATGGAGGTGGCACAGAGGTTCTGGAAGTATTCCCAGGTGGGATGGTACTTTGACTGGGAGAAAGAGGCAAAGAGACAGTGCTTATGAAAGTGGAACATCCATCAGAACTTCCTGAGAAGACAGAAGGAAAGGGACACTAGACCAGAAAATATACTTTGTATTTGGTCCTCCTGTCTACCCATGACAAAGTATGGCTTGGTCTAAGCTGATCCTCAGAGAAGTTCCAAATCCTTGGGTAGGTTTTTTAGCTTCTGACAAGCCTATAGCAGCCCAGATACCTACGTTGAGTTCCTTCCATACAGCCTCCCAGCATGTCCCACTTGACTGTGGGATCCCATGAATGCAGATTCCCAAAGCATCTGCTGTTACACAGTTAACTAATATCTCTAGGCCATACCTGACCTAAATATTATGCAAGTAATTAAAAGGGTAAGTTTATTTCTAAGAAGCAGCTGTTCACAGAGTTAGGAGATAGAAGTAAGGTAAAAAACATTCACATTCCCTACACATCCTTCCTCTGAAGCACTCAATAAGTTTAATTAGAGTGGTTAGGGATGAACTATGAAAGCAGCAAAGTTAGTATCAGATAAATTAGGGAAATATTGGGACAGAAGATATATGTGTGACATTTTTAACAAAAATCTGACATACATAATTGCCAGTGCTGCTTGTTATGAAGTGGAGGAGTGTGTGCATCAGGACCGGGCAGGAATAGAAGGAAAGTCTATTATAATCCATCCATTTCACACACTGTAACTGCAACCTCAATAAGTAATTGGAGGGGAGAGTGGTATAACACCCACACCACCCTGCTTCCCCCCTTGAAAATACTGGTGTTCTCTTGCTGATTAACCCCTGAAGTCAGTGGGTAAGTACAGGTTTGATATAATGCAATATGATATAATCCTCCTATGTGCAAGCTATTACACTCCACAAAAAGACTTTGCTTCTTTTTAGTATAGAAGGAAATCTTCTACAGTAGTCCTTCTTTGAGTACCAGTAAGGACAAACAAAAATCCCAGAAGATACCGACACCCCTAGATTCATCCTGCTATTT